GGTAGTTTAGTTCTGTGACAACTGACCATGATTAATTGCTAATAGAATTACAGCTCATTTATACATAAACTCAGGAATTGAATGAATGTTACGCTCAAAGAGATTCCATTGTATGGATGAAAATGTTGGACATGTTTGAAGACATGGAAATGAATAACACATTCAATGATATGTACAATTTATTTTTAACCACAATTCAACTATGAATAATGTGGTTTATCCGTTATGAATAATCGTTCGGCTACGCCTCCCCGGCCCCTCGCTCTATGGGATTTAACATGGAATTATACCGTAAATCTATGGCTATACTTTAACATGGTTCTAATGTTATCCTATTGGTAATGTTAATCCTATGGGGAAAATTTTCAATGGGTTTCTATGGGATTACAGCTTAAGTCTATGTCATAGGTTTAACATGGGTAATGCTAAGTCTATGTGATTCATATTAAATCTATAGATAATGCTAATCTATTCTTTAAGCGTCACACGAATTGTGGTTAACGTATAGCATGTGTGAGTTGTTTAGGATATTGAGGATATTGTGGTCAAATAATGCTCTAAAATAATTGTTTGTTTATTAATTAGCTAAATTAACTTTATATTAACTGAATAATTAATTCTTATGAATTAACCATTGATATGTATTTTCATTGTTCATTCGTACAATTACTATATATTTAATCTAATGAGATATAATTAATAATTTAGAAATTAAAAATTAATTGTAAACTAATGTATACTTGAAATACAGATATAAACGCTAAAATATGAGACCATTAAAAAAGCATTTTCTCGTATTTATGCTTTAGATTAGACATAGTATTAATATTTTCAAAGCGATTGCTTTAATAACTCAATGATTGGAAAGTTGTGTCTCTTTATTAGAAAAGATGTCATTTTCAAAGTACTCTGTTTTTTGGCAAAGAATTTTCAATTAGACTCAAATTGTGTCCTAAATTATTGCTTATAAATTTGAGATAATAATAATAAGCTGAAAATATTGTCTGTAAAGCTCTACTGCTGTTATACAGTACTTGTAAAAGCAATATTGATTGTCTTGTTTTGTGAGAGCGAACAAAATCTTACACAAAAAAGCCATTTCTTCATCAAAACGAGGATTCAAATAATCCATTGCTTGGAATTTAATCGTTAGATTCTTTCTCTGTTTTCATCTTTTTTATCTAAAATTTGTTTGATTTCATAGAAAACATGTATTTTTATCATAAGACGAATAAAATATCATGAAATGGATGGAAAATTTGACAATTGAAACAATTTTATAGAAACACACAATACTTTCCGGTTTTCATAAATAAAATCAAATGCTCTAAAATTTTATATTAAATGCAAAATATATTTTGAAAAAAGATTTTATCGTTACTTTTGATAAATATCTCGTATAGAGAATAAAAGAAAGAAAGCATTTGTCTAAACATTAGAGTATTAAAGAGTGTGTAGAGAATTGAAGAGTGCAGTCGTCTAACACTTCAAACATGTGTTTTACGAAAGAATTTATAGAAATAAATCTTATGTTGTATTGATTTTATGAAGACTTTGATAAAATAGTAACTCGAGTTGAGTCGAGTGATAAAGTATTGACTTTGGTTTGAGTGCAAACAGACCTCCGAACGAATGCTCTAAATTTACCTGAATTTGTTTCAATCGATCCATTAAATCATATTGATCATTTTACATACAGTATACTTCACTTTAATGTTTATAAGTATTATATTATTTATTAAAATTTTATTTAACTACATTTTAAACTAAATGCCCGGTCGTATTAAATCTGATTTATTGAATGAAATAATAGTTTATTTGAAATAAAATACAATAATTAATAATTAATTATAAGTTTGAGAAACTGATAATATTAATGAATTAATAATAACAATAAGCATTTTATTATTGTTAATAATAAAAATCTATAGTACAGTAAGTGTTGATAAATATCAATATAATTAAGGTAAGATTTTTAAGTATAATTTGAGTGAAAATGAAATATTAAAATTATAGATGAAAAGTGATTTAATGGTAAACAGTGTTATTGATGGCATCGGTTATTCTAGAATATGGTTTATCTCGATATACGAGCCCTTTATTGTTATGACGAGAAGATAACTTAAATGTCGATTTCTGATCCCAGCCTACAGTATAGGAGAATAAATATTAATATCATATTTAGACAGCGTTTTAGATCTAAGTTATGATCAACTCCTATAAAGACCTACAGTGACTGAGTTCTGAGTCGTTCTCTCCGTTCATCATATTATAAGGCAAAGAGTCGTTATTAGAGTAACCATTAGTTGTGGTGTTGGGACTGACCAGATGTGGAGGTGTTGTTACGGCTAGACTTGAAGTATCGTTAGCTGTTATTTGATGAATGCTCTGCTCGTTGTCTCGTATTGTAGACCGCGTTCCTCCGATTCCATCATTTATTCTGTTTAATAGCCAATCGATGGTATCATTAGCTTGTATTTAGGTTTAAACCGATGGCAAACACTGGCAGTCAATATGCTTTTAAGATTACCTTAATTTAGTGTTGGGTTTTTTGTCGACATTCAATATTCCCAGTTCTCTGAGCTGTTGTTGACGAATATCGTCGTAATAATCCTTTTCGTAAATCATAATCAATTATTTTCCGAGTTTTGAAATTTAAATCTTAATCTCGATTATAGACACGAAGCTATTCATTGCATAGATTGTCATTACTTGACATAACAAACATAATAATCCACTTATTGGTAGAGTTTGTGCTAACAATGTTTGTTCACTATTAGGTTCTCTCTGTTTATAACGTAATGCGATATTGAATACACAAAAGCTCTTAATATATGATTGTGTTTACAATTCAAACCAAATTCTATAACATATAATGCAATCGTATTAATAGAGTGTATACTCACGGGAACGAGAAAACGCTTCACTTCTTGGAGAGCATTTCCCATCCGTGTATAGGCTTCAGGTGCCGGTGCGAAGGCTGTTATCTCAACGTGTAGTTCTTCATTCAGATGGAAATACTTTGCATCCATCGTTTGGCGCAACTCTTCCTCCTAATCAACAAAAAACCAATAAATATTTGTAAAGTATAGACAAGAATAGCGCCGTTAAGACACACTTTTTGCTTATCTCTCATAGAGCCGCGACCAAGGATTGCCATTTTTGTCTGTGTCTGATCCTGAAGCCACTTCAGGGAATTTCCTTTCGGTCCCAACAGTTTTCCCACAAAATTAAACTTTAATTAAGAGAAGAAAACATATCACTTGTGTTAGAAATGGGGTTCGTTTACGAGTTGTTGTCTCTAATATTGTCTAAAAGAGTGATTTATTGAAATGCTTTCTATCTATCATATAATATAAGAAATAGTAAGTGAACTGACATTTGGGTGGTCGTGAATGGGAACCATTACTTTGACCTGAAGTCTTACGGGTCTGCCTTTGTGTACATCAAGTATTGGTGTGACTGTAGCTGACATTCCCACACCATTTCCATCATAAAAGGACGTATTAATTAAATCGTGATTATCTGTGGGACTATTGCTCTCAGAGGGTGAATGAGGCATATCTTGAGATCTCGGTTACAGACGCGCGACACAAGTCTCTGATCTCTGCAACGTTTCGGCAATCGATCCGATAGTCTCTTTGGTTCTGTTCTGCGCTTTATTTGTGTTGACTTTGTGTCCAAAACTGAAGAACAAATATAATTAAGAATACTATTGACGTGTTTTCATAACTAAATAAAATACAAACTTTCAATTAACTAACTCTTAAGACAGCAATTCTCTAAGTTTCACAGCATTTTCTCTCTTAATTCAATTAAATGCACAACAAATGGTTCATTAAAGTACAGTATCTCTCGTTAATCCCATATCACATCTAAACTAAATTAACAAATATTCAATTATTTCCAAACAATATATTTACCTAAAAACACATGTTTTAAAGATTCAAAAAACTAGTTAAACCGTAAACTTTTAATTATGTCTTTAGTTTTTACGGAGTTTTATATTTTGTAATCATTTAAATTGTTAACAACTCATCCGAGAAATTATTTCAGCCAAAAAAATAGTGTTTAAAAAATTAGGTTCAAAATAAATATCAATGCTTTTTATTTCATGAAAAAGTTCACAAATGCTCCTCTTTTTATGTTTGTCGTAAAGTTATGTTAATATTAACAGCAATTAACTTATAAATAAAATTGATAATAATTTAACTGAATTCACATTTTAAAAATGCCAAAAATCACACAAATGTTGTGACAATTATCCAACAATTTAATTAAAGTAACTTTATGACAGGTATCGCAATATTAATGACTCAAATATTTATATCTTCATTGATGTGAAGTGAAGAATAGAAATAATCGTTAATTAAATTTAAAGTCATTATTGAGAAACAATATATAAAAACAATGAGGAAACACAGCACACAAAAATTGATTGCATTTAAAGCAACATAACAAACTACAGTACATGGACACTTATTTTACTTATTGTATTGTATCCAACTGTTACTTATTCTCTTTATAGATATAGTTAAAAGTTACATTTACAATTATTTCAGTAATTACTATATTTAGAAAAGTTTTCATTTTCCTATTA